GGGTGAGAGGTCAATGGAGTGGGTTTGACCTAAGAGGGTGCTCCATATTTATGGTGTGGGAATTGGCTCTCAATGTTTACATATTGTTTGCTTACCGTCAGTGGTCGGCAAACTCATTAGTCAACAGAGCCAAATATCATAGTACAACGACTGAAATTTCTTTTGAGAGCCAAATTTTTTAAACTTAAACTATATAGGTAGGTACATTGTTATTAAATTAATTAGGGTACTCCCAAGGCTTAGGAAGAGCCACACTGAAGGGGCCAAAGAGCCGCATGTGGCTCGAGAGACGCAGTTTGCCAACCACGGCCCTGGGTGATCACAATGAGCACAGCACCACTGCTGACCTGCAGTTTGAGCAAGAAAGACCCTTCAGTGCTTCAGGGCCCTGGAGATTTTAACCTAGTGACTTCAGCCTCACCTCGCTTGCTGTCATTGCTACCCTTAAATTTCATACTTGATGAAGAAGATATGGAGAAGATTGGTGTTTTCCCTTCAGCAGGTCCCTCCCCCGGCATCCTCTTGAAGGTAGCTTTCTAAGTATTTTCTGGAATCCCCACTGTCTTCTGAAGTGGTGCTTTGGGTGAAGTGTGGGTTATATGTGAATCACAGGCCTATTCCACCACTTGGCAGATGCCAAGGATAATAAGTTGTTTCTTCGGTCATGATTATTTAGCTGAAGGAGACCAGAAAATGGACTGTGTGGGTCAGCAGCAGAGGGGGTGGGGGGTGACAGAACAAAGGATAAATGAGATTTGCTAAGACAGTATACTCTCACTGGACAGAAAAGTAAATTTAACTTGCTTCAGTGGGTCCAATCTCCCAGCAAGCACACGTTATTTCACTTGATTCTTTATCATGCAAGGTTTTGTCCTTCTCACCACACTTTTCTATAGATTCCAGTTTATTCTACTCCTTTCATAGCCGAAGACTCTCCCAAACATTGCATGTTATATTAACCGGTAAACAGACTGTGGCCATTCTGACGATAAGATTAGGAGTTGCTGATTGGCTCATGCTG